GTAAAGGTAAATACTTATCTTTAGTTGAAGCTATATGTCCTTTTATTAAATCATATGATAAATTTGGTTCTGATTTTGTAAAATATAAAATAAAGGACATCAAAAATATATTCTGGAAAGATGTTTGGTCTGGCTATGTTTCCTATATGGAATCTTTAAATATAAAGTCATGGAAGGAATTTTTATCTCTACCTGTTTGGTACAATCATAAGTTTAAGATAAGTGGAAAATCCTTCATTGATAAATCTTACCTTAACAGAGGAATAATATTTATAAATGATTTTATGAATGAAAATGGCAGCTTTTATACTCTACAGGAATTTCAAAACAAATATTTCTTTATAACAAACTTTTTACAATATAATAATATCATACATTCTTTTAGATCATATTTAGATTCCTTAAGAATTTCCCATAAATCATTAAAAGAAGTAAATCCATTACAACCTTTATTTATTAAGATGATGAATACATCAGTAAAGGGTTGCAGAATATTCTATGATACACTTGTATATAAATCCACTAATATTGTTTCTAAATCAAAATGGTTAAGAGATCTTAACACCAATCATTTAGACTGGAAAAATATATATATGTTGTCAGTGAGGGCATACGTGTCCTTTGGACACAATTTTCTTTTATATCGCTAGTTCTAAGCAGTTTTGAGAACTGCTTGTTGCTAGGTTAGTCGTGAAGCTTCTGTGTCAGAGATTGAATGTCAGTATTGAATTTTCTGATCTGTGATCAGAAAATACAAAAACGATAAATGAGACGTGTCATGACAAAACCAACATAATGGGTTTGCGACCATTATAGATCCAAACCAGCCTCCGCATCCGCGCAGCCTGATCAGGATCCATGCTGTTCGCTTACAAACCCTATTACAAGTAGGGAAACTGATAGCGAACAGCATGGATCCTGATCAGACTGCGCGGAATATAGAATATAGAAATATGCTATCTTTTAAATTATATAAATAAGTTGTTTTATCCCTGTTTTATCCCTGTGTTTTGATAATCACTACTGACCAGTTCATCCATGGTCTGACAATGAATGATAAATGATTTTGTAAAACTTTCTTTTTATATTGCGTGATAGTGTTTTTATTACAAAATTTAGTATTTTAGAGAATAATTTCTTATTGCAGTTTTTAAGTAGAGGTTATCAAACTTTTAGAATGTAAAAAGTCTATTATAATCTTGTAATTAAATGTCACAAATAATTTTTTAAATAATGAAAATGTGCAATTTTGTCATCCTATTGCAATTGATTTATATGATGTAAATGTTGAGAATGTTAATATATACGTAAATAAGGGAGGTAAATCTACAGTACATATTATACATTTCTTTAGTATGGACTGTGGAGTTATCCTTCTTAGTATAAGCTATAACAAGTCTCTTGTAATTCTTTCGAGAATTGCTATATACAATTCCGTTGTTTTAGATGTTTTATATAGATGTGAATATAATAAAGAATAAACAAACACGAGTTGAAAATTATAAAATTTTTATGACCACCCCGGAATTAGGGCCAACCCGCTGTTATTAATATATTACTTACTCGTAGCACTTTGGTGGATAGATTCATGACATCTCCAATCTACGTTTTTTACATAGAAACAAAATTGTGTACGATATATCTGGGACAGACAGATACACTTTTATTTTTAGTCCCAATCTCTTAAAATCATACAATATCATCTCACCATTTCAAATTTGATAAACAGTGAAGCAAAGACAAATTGCCAAGCGCCGGCATTTTTCTCAAATTGACATGCAGGGAAAGTATTGTTCCGACAGTTATTTCTTTTTCACCATATCAATCATGCTTAACGAAAAAAAAAATAACTCCAGGAACATCATTTCCAATTAGAGAAATGTGAATAAAAGTATTCGTAACCATTATGTTGTATAATTAACCAGTTTCCTTGTCGATATGTGGCTATTTTAAGAACAGGTCTCTTATCAGTGACGTATACGATGCTTATCTCAGATCGTTCCCTATTGTTGTTCAACTATTTTTTTTAATTAGTCATTCAGATAATATATCGGCCTTCGTGTTTAAAGGATGTGCTGCTGTGTACGAGTCCAATATAGTTATATATAAGTTTAGTGTCCAGCTTTATTTGTCATCCAATGAAAACGCTGTATTTTTTAAAATATATGTGCGTTAATTGTCATAGAAGAAAAAAAGTCGATACTATATTGAAATCCGTTCATAGTCACCTTCTATTTTTCAGAGTGCTTCATAGTACTGCGTAGTGACGTAATCAATGGCCAAATAAAGCTTGACACTAAATATGTTAGTGTTCATCCTTAGCTGTTCTACAGAAATTAGAAACATTCTCCTGTCGCTATCGCTCCCGTCGAAGTTTCTAATTTCTGTAGAACAGCACGGATGAACACTAACATATACATAGTACTTAACAACGTGTAATGACCTCTCTAAAATGCACCACCAATTTTCTCTTAACATAACTTTATTAGTTTGAGTACAATATGAATTTGAAATAAGTTAGAGGACGAACCTTGTTGATAAAGTTTTGGATTCGGAAAATGAAAACGAGATTAAATTGATAAGATTCGATCAAATACTGATTTCAGTTGGAAGATCAAATGGTGCAATCGCAGTTAATTATTACTTACTTTTCTTAAGTTGAGAAATAAAAATAAATGCGTAATTATCAAATCACAACTCCCTGTAGCCAAAGCGTTCTTTATGCCATTTTTTATATAAAAACTGTCCGTTTAAAGTCTTATATTCCTAGCTTTATTGTTGGCACTTATTTTAAAATAACCCCCTTCCCCCCGGGAAACCCCATTGCAGGGCCAAGTATTTTTTTTTGAAAAAGGGTTCCTGGTATTTAAAAAGGGGTCCCCAGACGCCTTTTTTCCTCCCTCCCGCCCGTCTTTAAGTGATCTTTGTAAAAAGAAGGAAAAGGGTAATGCCGCCCAACAAATTTAAGTTATTGACATTGTGTAAAAAAGGTGAAAGAAAGCTTACTTTTATAATCGGTATATATTTAGGTCCGAGTGGGAGCATCTCTGAAATCGAAATCGAGTGGCAGCGTTTTTCATTTTTGTAAAATAATGTAAGAAAAACTTACTTTTGAAAAAAAAAATATTTCAAACAATCAAGAAATATGTGTAAACATGACCCGGTTTATGCTCCAGTACGCTTAAAATAAAGTAAATATCAAGAAGGTTGCCAACCTGATTTCCTATATGTTGTGGGAAAAGTCCGAGTGGGAACATTCAGAGAAAAAATACTCACCCCGTTTTTACTCTTGTAAATGTTGTAGAGCAGTGTTGCAATGGACCTGCTTTCCAAAGAGACCCATTAAAAGAGCATTGGTGTTGTTATGGATAGAGCCGAGACAGTCCTTTTTAAGACTGAAGATATTCTACCGTTCTCACAATGATGTATGTATGAACAGATAAAATTTCTAAATTTGTCATTTAAATACAGACATTCTGACATATTGCCTGCTCTATATGAAAAGCGTATGCAAGATAGAAAAATGTGGGCTTGTATGAATGATTGCACATTACTGGATTATTCGTTGAAAGATATTTTCAGCAAAATTAAGGTTGTATAGTGAGCTGGAATGCTCAGTCACAAAACAATCAAACAGAACATTCTGAAATGTAGAGTAAAAATGGTTTGGTAGAATGCTCAGCTGGCAGAGCAATAGAGCGTAGCATTCTTAAGTTGCTAGTAGTGTAAAATGCTCTGCTTGACTGCCTCACCTTTGGCAGGGAGAGAGAATAAGGCAGAGGCATTCTGATATATAAGAGTTAAAAATGCCTTCTGCTAGAATGCTAGCTACCTAGACTAGAGAGTAATGTAGTGGACAATTCTAAAATATAGTTTAAACTGCTCTGCTGGAATGCTCAGCTGGCTAGGCAATTTAACAGAGCATAATTATTTTACTTAGATAGTGCTGATGTCTAAAGCTGAAGACAGTATATAATTCATCAAGAACAGAGGAATGCAGAATTAAGCCTCAAGTACGAAATTTCACTAGGCCGAGACCAATAACAACAACAGAGAAATCACCGTGATCTGAAAATATGGTTATTGACTATGGTTTAGCGATCTGACAACCGCCAGTCTAAAATTTCTTCAGATTGCAATCTATGTTCTTAAACATTTTATTCAGTATGAATCTATATATTATGGTCCTTATTTGGTTATTTACATTATCATGGTAATAATAATTCTGGTCTTAAACAAAAAATATATGATGTTTACGATATCTAAATCTAGTATAAATATATCATCAACGAAATGGCCAGGTACAAAACAATTATGTTATAACACTCAATTATTTTAATTAAATGGTTTCTTTTTTTGTTTCATATATAAACATATTAACTGAAATACTTTTGATACAAATAAAATTTTATTTTTAAAAACCTGAATGAAGATCAAAACATAAAATAGTTGTAGATGACATTTTACTATTTTAGTGTTATAATAAAAATGGCTTACATTAATTAATAGCTAAACTAACCAGTGCCTAAATAACAAGTGTGATGTTATATATTGTATGATTATATTAACAAACTAAGAAGTATTAAAACCACAAAATCATAATTACACTACGAAGCTCATAGTTCCTTTTGCATGTCTTCCACATACAATGAAGTAAAATTGTTACAGTACAATATCACTCTATATAAACAGCGCGACAGCTAGTCAAATACTTTGTAATAATGTAATTTGAATGCATTTTCAGCTACAGTTTCAACAATGATATGCATTAACATGTTAAAGCTTTATAAAAACCATGAAATATTTGTTAAAAATGTTCTCTGCAATAAAGCCAGCCATCTTTATTCGCAGCCAGATCTGTTGTCAAAACAAAACTGAAAATAATATCATAATATACCTGACAAAAAAGTAAACATGTATATGATAGACTTCACGATGAAGTTCATTATATCTCATTTCTTGTTTATTGTTTAAATAATCATTTATCCTCGCCCATCATTACACGACTGGTATTTCTAGAGGGAGATTTCTTCGATCAACTTGTGTTGTCTCTCCTCCTTTTGCACTTCACTTTCAGTTCGACAACTTGACATCTTAACATATCACATTGATAAGTGCCACAATAGAGACTGTCGAATCGTCGTAGATTAACAATTCATTTCTTAATTATCAAAATGTTATTGCTTCAGAAATACTTTTCCTGTAATATCTGGACATAATTTTGACATTTCTCAATTTTACAATCCAGCTCTATTCCGGCTAACTGCTGACCCCAACTGCAGTGAGTGGTCTCCCCGAATTTATATACCTTACACTGTACACTCACTTTCATGTAAACACCGTTTTCTAGCTGAAATATATAATAATATCTGCATTAAAACATCTTTACACATATTTTATACGAGTGACAACTCGAATTTGCCAAATTTTCTCAGTGACAGTAGTATTGTAAAACAGCAAAATTCTTGTCGATGATAAGACGCAATTTTTAGCTTTTTTTACATTGAAGATGTATACACATATAAATTAAATTGATATAACTAATAAAGGGACATGTGATAATATCAATTTTAATCAACTTCACAGGGAATTATCCTGAAAACATACCTGAAAACAAAAAGAATGCTTACCTCTAGTACAAAAAGTAGTTCCCTCCGCTTGCCTCGTTTGCAGACGTCAACGCTCACTGTCTCATAGTGTGTGACGTAAGTCCTCGTGTCCTCGTACTTGTCATTGTTGTCATGACAACGATCTATTTTATGAGCTTCCCCATTTAGTAATAGTTTTCTGAAACAAGTAATTAAGTGATCCTACCAGATTATAGTCACTAAAACAAAGTAAACAACCCATCTTGATACACTTCATTCTTTTTAAACTAAACGAATTGAATAGTAAAAATTACTTTAAATAATGATTACTTTCTTTTTTATTGAAGATTTCTTAGATATAAACGGTAATTATATAGATCTAGTTATAGTATTTGACATCTCAGAAAAAAACAACGAAAAAATCCCAAACAAATAAACTTAGGAGCCTTCTTAGAATTGATATCTTCGTAAGATGTGATTCATGAAAATTGAATAAGGATAATTTAAAGTGCTTATAGCATTCCTCATAGTACTAATAATAATACTAATAATACTAATAATAATAATAATAATAATAATAATAATAATAATTGAATAATGAAATAAGGATAGATTTTTTCATTCATTAATAGGGGAAAACTAAAGCGCATATTCAACTCTTTTTAGGTATTGTACAGGAACAGGTCCTAATAAAGTATATTGTTTTAGGTTTTGCTGATATTTGTCATTACCTATAAGGATATAGATAGATTATCTATGTCAAAGTCCAAAAATGATAAACAACGTTGACCTACTTACAGCCATGTATTCAACTTGAAATGAAGATATAATAAATTTGTTTCAGTCCATGATAGATCTATATAAAACAGGATTTATATAAAATGTTATGTAATGCTCACTGAATTTTCCTATAACCTATTTACAACTATTACAACTAAATGATCTTCATAATTATAAGTAAGAAATCTAATGCTTCAAATATGTAATAATGCATGTAAATATAATATGAAATATTTAACTTACTCGATACCCATCGCCGGATTTAGCGTAAACATGATATCATATTCCTTGTCAGCGTTCATTTTCACTGTATGAGTTTGTTCGAACCTCTGACCGTCATGTTTATAAAATACCGCCTTCCTGGAATCACGCTCAATAAGTCGCACACTTAGCTTAAAATTTGTATCCATCCTAGATCATGTAGGAAGTAAGTCTTTAAATTGTCTTAAATTACAGAACGCAAAGTCCAAAGTACCTTCATCAGTTAATTCCACGGCTAAATTACGCAAAATTATATCATATTATGGAATTAGACTATTTATCAGTAACGTGAAAGATTCCACTAATAAGGCTATCCGATTAATCCGATAATGTAAACAATATCACAACTCTGTAAGCTGTAAATACATTCCTCCCTTCTTAAACTACCTTTAACCTTGAAACTATTTTATATTGCCATAAAAACTTGTAAATAATGTTTACTCTAGTCTGTAGTGTTATTTACGACAGTCGTCAAGTCTACATCTAGGTCAGTGTAAAGTTAAAGTTTTCATGTCTCTGTGGTCATTTTACTTCCTGTCATAATTCGGAAACATCTTAATAACCTAATTATGTGTCAATCATGAACGACCAGATCTTTATCTTATATCGTTTGTTATATACGGTATTTCTATTATAGAGACATGTTAATTTGCATGTTCCTGTCAACTTCAATTATGATTAATTGTTTCCTGTCTCGTTCTGTCAACAATCTTGACAGGTAACAAAAGCTGTTATAGATATACTATGATGGGAAATATTTACATAAACGATTATACTTAATGTGCTAAATTTACGTTACATTTATTCCCAGTCTTAAATATGCTAAATTTACGTTACTTTTGTTCCCATTCTAAATTTACGTTACTTTTGTTTCCAGTCTTGAAAATATCACAGCTTATGACAAGGTCATTTGCAAATCTTAAAACAATTCCGTGTTGTTAAAGTCATCATATTAGCTGTCGATTATTTTATTAAATCCTTTAAATTTAGTTCTAGTCAAAATGTTATAGAATTAGTAAATACAATATTACATGGGTCAACTTACTTTAACAATTAAACCCTTAATTAAACAAGTTTGAAAAAGCGACTTGAGTGTATTAAATAGAGTAAGTTCATTTAAGTTTACTTCTTCTATGTTTCAAATGTTTAAGGAGGTATAAAAATCAAAACACTAACAGTACTATGAAACATGCGAAATATTAAAGAAAAACTTCAGGAAAAACTTTCGATAATAGTTAATACTCATTAAATGCATTGTCAAGTAAGACGTGCACGCCAGTACCTATGAGTGTAGGACAAAAGCCCTCCCGGACAAAAGCTCTCCCGTCCAAAAATGACAAGGCGGACAAAAGCCCTCCCGTATAAAAATAACAAGGCGGACAAAAGCCCTCCTGTTAAAATGACAGGGCAGACAAAAGCCCTCCCGTAAAAATAACTGGGCGGACAGAAGCCCTCCCGTGAAAATAAAATGGCGGACAAAAGCCCTCCCGCAGCAAATACATATAAATAAATTATCATCATATGTACATTGAATAGTTTGTATTTTCAATTCAATGCACTCAACATATTAAAATTGTAATCATGAATATTTTTGTTTTCCATTGTTTTCCATTGGCATAAAAGTGTTTGTATGAGCTTGAGTACATTCCTGACTGACATCTGAATAATAAGTACTAAAATCTGTAAGTGCATATTTATTCACGTAAAAATGAAGGATTACTCACATGTGAAATTATGATTAATAGAATAATAAATGATGAAAAGATGTTAAAATTAACTAAAATTGAAAGTCCAAGTGCCTTGTAATGAGTCAATTACTTTAGAAAGTGACTTTGTTTTAAACGACATTCGTGTGAAAATATTACCTCGCTAAACATTTCTGAAAGGTATATTCTGAATGAAAGCTGGTTCTAGCTCATAAAATACTTAGACCAATAGAAAACAACAACAAATATAAATGTTACAAATTTAATATCTTAAGTGCGTTGAAAAAAACACAGGTATGTAACATACATATATATTTTGTTACGGGAGGGCTTTTGTCCGCATTGTTAATTTCACGGGAGGGCTTTTGTCCGCCCTGTCATTTTCACGGGAGGGCTTTTGTCCGCCCTGTCAATTTCACGGGAGGGCTTTTGTCCGCCTTGTCATTTTCACGGGAGGGCTTTTGTCCGCCCTGTCAATTTCACGGGAGGGCTTTTGTCCGCCTTGTCATTTTCACGGGAGGGCTTTTGTCCGCCTTGTCATTTTTGGACGGGAGGGTTTTTGTCCGGGAGGGCTTTTGTCCGTTTCCCAGTACCTATATCGGAATCGAATTGAGCAATAATTCTGGTGGCTCCAGACGAATAAGATTAAAATACTTCACAGGTTGTTCAAAATAATCACACATTAGTTGCGGTATGTAAAAAAGTGTTTCTTTCCAGTTAAATATAACGAAAAATTAATTAACTATATATATATATATTTAGAGACAGAGATGTATTGCAACTTTGATACAAACATACACAGATAGAAAATAATAAATGACGATGACTGATTCGATATAAACATAGTTAATATTTATAGTTGTATATTCATGGTAATATAGGTATCCATTATACTTATGTATTTGCAAATAGAACGTCCAAACTCCAAAGTAGAAAAAAATTAGAATATGTGCAGAAGAATTATTTTTGTGACACTGATTTGATCAATATGTATATTATACAGAATCGTAAAATTCTCCATTATTTAAACTTGAATATCCTGCTTTTATATTGATGTGTTCAGTTCAGTAATAAAGTACCGCCCAGTAATTAATTAATTAATCAACGTTTTGGCATATATATGTGAGCTCTTCGGCTTCCGTTCATGCGGAGCTTTTTTTCTACCGACATTTTTTATGACATCATTATGAAATTCCATTTGAAATTGATTACTATAAAGGTTTACTTTCTTGCGGCACTTAAAATTGTATTTATGCAGAATATGAATCGTTGACATTTCAATCTGCCTGTAAATCGGTGTAACACATGCTTTATTCGTAAATATCCGTATACATATTAATTGAAATACTTATTTAAAGTTAAAGTACTATGTATGGTATTTTTTGAATTTTGAAACATTTTTTTATACTTTAATTTTCATTTAATTTTCATCTCAAGAATCATTTCCTTAAAGGGTAATTATGTACAGAATATTGAGTATTTACCAAGTATTTTACACCCACACATAACAAGGCACACATATATTTATAAACAACCCTATTGTTCTAATTGTTCTCTTATTGGACGTATCTTAAATTACAGAAATGTATATTGTATTGTTTATTTTTTTCGTAGCCTTACTAGGTGCTATTCCGACTGGATTTTGTTGGAGCGTCGTTTTGCCTTGTGGATCTTTAACCCATTACTTCATATACACGCCTTTTAACGCCTTTTTCACCCCCCTTTTTGTTGTCTCAAATGGTGAAAAAATGCCTTATTTAGGCCCCCAACACTTGTTTTTGTTTGAGAAATGTTGTTAAAAAAAGTGACCACTTTTTCGGCGCGGCCCCCCAACCAAAAGATACATCAGGGGGTTACCAGAAGGGGGATGTGCCCCCTTCTGTTTGGGGGGTTTGAAGGGGGCGGAGTCCCCCTCATCGCCAAGAAAATTTTGGACTTGTGAGAGGCTATAAATGACCTCAGATTGATCATAAGGTAACGTGTAACCAACGCTGAAAAGCATTTGACTCTATCTCAATCCATTGAGAAGTTGCAGCACTTTGAAATCAATTATGATGGAAAAAATCAATGCAAAATAGTGATTTTTGGCAATTTTGAGATGTCCCCTCGTTGCCATGGTAACAGAAAATTTAAGCCTGAGCATGTTGTTGCAAGGGCAATGGTCCAGTCAACATTTGTGCCAAGTTTGATTAGTGTTGAAGCAGTTTTTATAGTATTATAGCAATTTGAACTTGTAACGGGAGACTTTTCAATGAAAACAGCCATTTTTCACAAAATGCTCATGAAGTAATGGGTTAATGAAAAAAATAAAAAAATCTACAAAACAACAATTTTTCTTCAAATTTATATGACAGGCCATGTTTAAACATGGAAAAACGCGATTTAGGGTAATTTCAAGTATTTTCATCATTTTCTGTTAACCCATTACTTCATATACACGCCTTTTAACGCCTTTTTCACCCCCCCCCTTTTTGTTGTCTCAAATGGTGAAAAAATGCCTTATTTAGGCCCCCAACACTTGTTTTTGTTTGAGAAATGTTGTTAAAAAAAGTGACCACTTTTTCGGCGCGGCCCCCCAACCAAAAGATACATCAGGGGGTTGCCAGAAGGGGGATGTGCCCCCTTCTGTTTGGGGGGTTTGAAGGGGGGCGGAGTCCCCCTCATCGCCAAGAAAATTTTGGACTTGTGAGAGGCTATAAATGACCTCAGATTAATCATAAGGTAACGTGTAACCAACGCTGAAAAGCATTTGACTCTATCTCAATCCATTGAGAAGTTGCAGCACTTAGAAATCAATTATGATGGAAAATATCAACGCAAAATAGTGATTTTTGGCAATTTTGAGATGTCCCCTCGTTGCCATGGTAACAGAAAATTTAAGCCTGAGCATGTTGTTGCAAGGGCAATGGTCCAGTCAACATTTGTGCCAAGTTTGATTAGTGATGAAGCAGTTTTCATAGTATTATAGCAATTTGAACTTGTAACGGGAGACTTTTCAATGAAAACAGCCATTTTTCACAAAATGCTCATGAAGTAATGGGTTAAGATCATTTTTTGTTATATATGTTTGATAAGCAATTTCTTTGGTAAATAAAACCATATTAGTTTATCTTAAAGCATACATACTGTACTGTATAACTACTATATGAGAACGCGGTAAAATATAAGTCACCGTGCCAGAACGAGACATACCGTGATTCTAGTGAACTATAGCTTTATTTTATGTTTCTCTATATACACGCTAAGTTTTGTATATGTAAACGTACCTGTAGTGTAACAATACATAAAGAAAGTAGACCAGTATGCAGTGTTTCTATTCTATTTATATTCTTTATAGAGTTCAGTACATGTATTATGAACATCTATACATGTTCAGTGCATTGAATGGACATTACATTAAGAGATGTTTTAAATTATGAAGTACTGTGTACATGTTGACTTGCGAAAATTGCATTAATGTGTCTAGTCATAGTGTTATTTAAATAATATTTGATTGTAAGTTTATGCCTAAACATGTATTAATTTTTACAATTATGTGACTTAAATATATCTTGTATTAAATAGCACATTGTACAGGAATATACTGCAGATGTTGAATCATTCGACAATGATATCTCAGAATGAATCAGGAATCAATAATCGCACGTGAGAATCTATCACCTGCTCTACAGCAGACGCAGATTCCGTTTAGTTAACTACAAGTGCATTAGAAGAACTAATAACAAATTGGTGAAATTTGATACTGTTATTTCGTGATTCTTAAATAAAATACGGGAACGCTCTGCATCACGTAAATGAATGAGATAAAGAAGTATTTTCAACAAAATGACAACGGAATTTAAAGTGAAATTACGGCTTGTGGAAAAGAAAAGTGAAGAAGTTGTTTGTTATAAACAAGATGGTAAGAGATTTGGTCAGGCTGTCACTGTAAAGTTGACTACAGATACGGAGTATGAGATTAGTGTATCTACCCGACCTGCCATCATCATTGAGTATAAATATTGACATTTATATTTGATTTATATGCTCTAATAAAACAATTAAAAAACCATAAAAGAATAAAGTGTAGTTTAATCAAGGAAAGAAAATCAACATTTTATGACCTTCACATACACATTTAAAACGAATTGAACTGAATTGACAATATATACATAAATCAATTTAGATAATAATTTATTCTAACAATTAGAAGCATTTATAAACTGTAACTGAAAAATGACTGAGATAAATTTAAAACAACAACAGAAAAATATACAGGAGGAATACCAATCAACCTGTTGTTTTAAAAGATATTTCAGTAGATATTCAGAGTAGCTTCTTTTATGAGCGTTTTGTTATTTCATATTACGTAGCATAGAATTGAATATGTTTTATAATTAATATTATAGGAGGCTAATGATAAACGGAGAATCTCAGACATTATTAGATCATATAGCTGGAGGTAATAGAGATGACAGCGATTCTAAAACGTATATTATACATTACTCAACTATT